CCTACGTCGCAACTCCATAGCGCTGCCAAGCTTACCGTCTATTTGATGTCCGCACGTGGCCACGGCCTGTGGTCCTGCACGCTCAATGCGGGACGTAATCTTGTATCGCCTAGCTGCTGCAACAATTCGCCGTAACTTCTGATGCTGGGTACCTGCTTTGATGACTCGCTTCCGTGCCGTCTCTCGTGCGTGTCGGACTCCACGCCCCATGTCTACTCCCAAATACGCCGTCTGCAAGGCTGCGGTGATATTGATACCTCTCCTCCGAAGTACCCGAACCACAGCCTTCGCATCGGCGTGAGAAGAGCAGGTCACAACACTCTTGGCGGCGATACTGAGTGAGACATTCTTAAACTCAGCAGCCGTATCTGTGATGGTCTCAATAAGATCTCGCCGAACCTGAACTCTCGATCCAACCGTTCTCTGTGCCAAATCGTCGATCCAGATTCGCTCGGACATCCGAGGATGTGCGGTGCATAATGTCTGCAATACAAAATAGGTAAGTCAACGACCGAACCGCGCACCGCTGCGGATTCCTTGCATAATCCCTCGAGTACTTTGAAACGGTAACGAGAAAGAGTTGAACTGCGACAACACTCGAGGCATAACACATGTCTGCATTTCCAACCCGAGGACAACAGGCGGAAAGTTGAGTCGCAGCGCCGCGTCTGCCAGTATCGGGTACTCGATGCTGTCGTAGAATGCTTCTAAGTCGATAAGTGCCTCACCCTGCGTCACGTTCATGCGAGCGCATACTTCAGAATTGAGTGCACGGATAAATGCTTCTCTCAAAGCGCTGTTCTGTGCAACCGCTGCGTCCCAATGTGGAGCCGACTGGACGGCCCAGGCACGCATCTGGTCTTCCCGCGATAAGCTCCACAAACGGCTGATCATTGATATGAGTCCGATGATCCTATCACCACCAGACTTTTTACCCAGCAGCCGTCCGATGGTGGCCATGATTTGCCACGGCCACGTCGAACCCTCCCCGATGAGAAGGAATAGCTGACACAGCTGCTCGAGTCCTGCATCAGGTAATCGTTCGAAGTCCAGCGGCGACAACTGGTCGCAGCCGAGGCCTGCCTTCGGCTTCATGCGCGCCAGCGCGCGCCGAAGGTCTGGGACTGTCAATGGCTCCAGCTGCTCTACCACCGCCGGCTGTCTGACTGAATACATCACATCTAAGAACTGATCGGCCGATAACGAACTCGAGCTCCATTTGCGATGCCAGAACTCGACCTTTCTATCAACGATCTCCATCGGATGTGCTGTACACTTACCTTCGACATGTAACCCATCAGCTTCCACTGGTAACTGCTTGATACTACGATGAACAATACCGATGACACCTGTGGTGCTGATCCAGTCTTGAAGCTCTCGCAAGGATTGGCTCGTGGCCCGAGCCCTTCCTCGCTTCGCACCCCGCTCCACGAGCTTGCACATTTCTGCCAGCTGCTGCAAAGACAAACTTCCCAAATCGGTCAACTTCGTGGTAAACTCGTCCCACGTGCCTTGACCTGGGGGAAACAGCTCGTGGATTCCTGCAGGTGCTTTATGAACGAGTCTCGCTGCACTGTCACTCAGCTGCTGGATCTGCACTCTGCCATTTTTACGCTTACGATGTCTTTCCACTCGATTGACTACTGTGCACATGCGCGCCCACCACGATGCGTGTGTGTCCCGCAGAGGCTGATCGCGAACGTGCTCTGCTTGATGTACTGCGCCGATCTCCTGATAGGGGGCCATGCGCTCGTGACCGACGTGGGGGTTCAAATCCATGGTGTTCGCTGATACTTCTCTCCACTGCCGTCGCCCACGAGGCGTAGCGAGAGCTGATATGAAGGACGTGCGGTCCTGCCACTGTGAAGGCCAAGGGCTCCCGAGCTGCTGGC